CACCCGGCGGCGGAGGCGGCGACCGGCACGGGGGCCTGCCAGTCCGATGGCGACTGCGAGAGCACACTCAAGTGCTGCCCGGCGGCCTGCGGCAAGGCCTGCCAGAAGCCCGACGGTAACACTCCCTCGTGCTCCCGGCCCCGCTGCCGTGAGCCCGCAGCCCGTCCCAGCGCGGGCGCTCCGGTGGCCCCTCGCGTGTCTGGCTACAGTGCAGTTATCAGGGGCTGCTCCGGTGGGGCGGCCTCCCGGCACGGTGCACCCTCCACCCTGGCTTGCTGGGGCCATGCTCGCCACTTTCTCCTCCCAGACGCCTCCGAACGGTGCTGGGGCCAGCACAGAGGGCAGGGGCTGCCCTGCTCCCCCTTGCAGCCCCTGCTGCCCACTCAGCCTCACAGTGGGCAGCCGCCAGCCCAGGACATGGGCACTGCTCTGCCTCCCAATCCTACACCTGGCAAGTGTCTCCCAACAGCATCACCCTCAGCCCTGTACAGGACATGGCCCCACAGCCACATGGCTGAACACACTCACTGTGCCAGTCCTGCTGGAGAGCAGCCCCAGTGGATGGGTGCTGGATTTAGGATCTCCAGCTACAAACACATGGATGTGATCCTGAGGCTCCGGTACTTCCATTGCCACCTGCAAGGACTGAGCTGGCCTGGCTGTGCCACTGGAGGATGGCATGGTGCAGAGCTGAGAGCCTGGTGCTGGTGGCAGGCATCGAGGTGGCTGGGCACAGGTTGCTTTGGGGGCACGTGCCCCCACTGTGGCCTGAGCTGAGCCCACAAGTGCATGGCTGGGGTGGTTCACAGCTGCTCTGTAGGAAAGCAGAGAACAGGCTGCTGTTAGGGCTGCTGCTGTGTGTCCTGTGCCAGCCATGCACCCCTGAGCAGGAGGCTGAGCACAGCAACCGAGAGAACCATGAGGCATCCCCAGTGTGGCCCCGCTGGGTCAGGCTGGGGGGAGTACCAATGGGCAGAGTCATGGGGTGGGGGAGTCACTGGCTGGCACAGGGGTGTCTGCTCTCTGGCAGCCATCGGCCAGGACAGTGCCTGTGGCTCTGGAAGCTGCAGGGCCAGCCCTGCCCCTCGTGCCAGGCTGGCAGGTCTCAGGCTGTGTCCTTTCACCTTTGCAGAGAAGCCTGGCACCTGCCCACCCGTCAGCCCAGGCATCCCCATGCTGGGTGTCTGCACCAACCAATGCAAGACTGACTCCAACTGCTCCGGGAACCAGAAGTGCTGCAGGAACGGCTGTGGCAAGGTCTCCTGTGTGACGCCCATCCACTGAGGTCAGTTGGGTGCCCGTTGACCCCAGGGACTCCCTGGCACAGTGCCCATCCTGCTGATGGCCCCTCTGCTCCCTTTGCAGGCACAGCCACCTCCTGCCCGCCCAGCCACAGGGAAGCTGCTGCCTGACATGAATCCCACACACCCAGGCCCCCTGGACCCACACCGACCCCCTGGCCCAGAGCCTTCAGCCTCAGCTTTCCCTCCGGGGTCCCCTGCTTGGGTTGCACTGCAGCCCCCCACGCTCTCTCCAATAAAGCAGCCTCTCCCTCCTGCTTTCCTGGCTGCCTCTCTCTCCCACCACACTCAGCTATGTCCTGCCCAGGCTGCCCACAGCTCCAGGAACCCAAGGGTTCCAAGGCCCCACAGCCCATGCTGCCCTGACACACCAGCTCCTCCAACTTCACACAGATGTGCTCTGAGTGGGGCCATCATAGCACAGCCACATCACAGCCACATCCTGTCAGAGCAGAGCTGCTCCCTGCTCTGCAATGACTGGGGGCTGGGGAGGCTGCTGGTGTGTGCCATTGCACAAGTGTCACCCAAACCCCTCCAGCCCCAATGTACCCAGCTTGGCCGTGACACACTGCCCATGGCAGGACCCCAAAGGCGCCACAGGCAGTGAAGCCCCCGTGCCCCTGCACCCTCCCTCCTGCCTGCCCAGAGCTGGGCCACACTCCTGCCCCACTGGTGTGCCCCAGCTCAGTGCCATGGCTCTCCACAGCAGCCCTTCCCACTCTGCGTGTGCCGGGCGGTGACCGGCCACACTGCTCAGTAGGACGAGGTGGACACTGAGGAGGAGGGACAGGACACTGCTGCCATGTCCCTTCCCTGCTCGCTGTCAGGGAACGCAGGCAGTGGGGCTCCCCAACGCTGCCCATCCCTAGCCTGGCTGCTCACGGATCACCAGTGACCTGGAAAGGGCACTGCTGAGGAAGTTCAGGAGACCCAAAGTCTCCCCCGCGCCCGATTGTTCATAGCGAGCGCTCCCACGGTCTCGATACCGTGCTTTCATGGGAAGGAGCAGCTCGGCCAGCCCCCTCCCCGCAGGGTTTAAATCCGGGCCCAGCAGCACGGCTCCCCACAGCAGCATGATGCCGGGCGAGTGCACTCTCCTGCTGGCGCTCCTGGCACTGCTCGCGGAGCTGCCGCCCACCGTAGCCCACCAGCACC